AAGCTACAGTATTTTCCTTTGAGGCCATCAATCACCCTTATAGCCATGTTCAATCGCGGTTGCGCTGGACCGGCACTAGTCCCAAACGTGGAACCACTGCTGCACGTAGTGCCATTTTGTAGATTTCTGTACAGTCAGGGAAATATGGCTTTTACAGTGCCACCGGCGTGTGCTTTCCTGCTGCTGCCACCACAGCTCTACAGCAGTAGTGCTGTTGCAGCTACCGCTGCTGCTGCACGGGTCTACTGCATTATGTACCAAGTACATGTTGACATATCACGCCGTCCAGGGACGACAGCTACTCGAACAAATGTTACATGTTTCAAGGATGGTTGCGGTGGTACGGCGTCCCACAGCAGTACATGTGTGTACCTATCAACATATTTACGTGTGTACTTCGCTGCTGTGTGCCGTATTACTTTCCCCGTGTCGTGCCTATTTTTTAAAATGTACGTTGGCCTTTCAAGCGTTTTGTTCTGGACCTGTACACGGGAGTGCGCGANCCTATTTTTTACAATGTACGTTGGCCTTTCAAGCGTTTTGTTCTGGACCTGTACACGGGAGTGCGCGAGTTCGCCGTCCAAACTGCTGTGCACGGGCTAACCCTCTCCAATACACAGAATCACTGCTGTTGTGGGCAGTCAGCAACTCATCGTGATCGTCTACCCCGACTTTACACGCGTCACGCACCTCCGAGCGTGGTGAAGTAGTCTAGAGCTTAGTCTCCCACCCGGCCGGGAAGCGCAGCGGGTTGTCGGACTCCGCGGACTCCGCGATAGCTCGGTGGCACAACTTTATCCAGCCAGGAAGCGCGATTTCCTGGTAGCACCTCGACACGTCTCTTTCACGAACTTCTTTGCTTTTCTTCTCCGCCTCCTTGACGGCGAGACAAGCCCATGCTATAGGGAAGCACTGCAGGGCTTTCTGGGACTGCTGGCCGAGAGGTGTACCTCCATNCTCCGCGGACTCGCGATAGCTCGGTTGCACAACTTTATCCAGCCAGGAAGCTCGATTTCATCATGGTAGCACCTCGACACGTCTCTGTCACGAACTTCTTTGCTTTTCTTCTCCGCCTCCTTGACGGCGAGACAAGCCCATGCTATAGGGAAGCACTGCAGGGCTTTCTGGGACTGCTGGCCGAGAGGTGTACCTCCATACGTAGCGCAGAAGATCCCAAAGGAATCCATGAGGTCATTCGTGAGTTCTACTGGCAGTGCCGGCGCTCTGTTGGTTACCTCTAGGTCGAGTGCCATGCTGGTTCGTGTGACGCACTGGACATTAGTTGCGTGGTCAAGCGTTTGTTTGCCTGTTGCGCGGCCCTCCGTGGCGTGGTGCAGCCGCACAGATGGCGAGCCCGAGGGCTGCGTGTATGTGTCGGGAGGTGTAGCCTGCTTTTTTGAATTTGAACCAACCCGCCTCCACATTCGAACAACAGTAGTCCCGTGCACAAAACTTTCCTCGTCCCATACCAGCGTGCACCAAAAAAGTTACAGACGAGAGTTCCCGCGCCAAGTTGCATAAAAAGTTTGCAACTTTTCTTGCAACATTTGTGAGCCATAAAAACCGGTCTTACAGCGAGCCGGATTCCTGAGGCAGATTGTTGGGGGGTGGGTGTAGATCAACCCAGACGACATAATCGGCGAGTGGGACCTGAGTTCTTGACGTAGCACTCCCATCAAGGGCTCCCAGCAACCCTACGCCGAAGGGCTTGCTATTCTGCACGCTGGCTGTTGACGGTCGCAAGGCATGCGTGCGTAAGAAAAACACATTGCATCGCACCAAGCATGGGAGACGCCGAAACAGGCCAAACCGACACGAGACAGCAAAAAGAGCTGCTTCTCGTCAGAGAGGGGAGGACACCGCAACAATTTTCTCGCTCCCTAGGCCACCGATCGAAGCCAGACCGGTCAGGGCGTGCTGTTCATTGCTCTCTGCCGGTGTAGATTTGCTCGGCAGCGCGTACTTTCGATCGACGGAGAGAAGCATGCGCGTGGTGCCCGCTTCTTTTTCGAACTGTGATTTTTTTCTGGTCTGCTTCTCTTGAGAATAGAGTCATGTGTCGAGGGCCTGGAAACAATTTTCAACATACAGCTTGTGTACACGCAGACGACGATTTCGAATGATTGGAGCGAGCTGCTGAGCAAATCTACTCCGACCGAGAGCAAGGAACAGAGAGCACGTCCTGACCGGTCTGGCTTCGATCAGTGGCCTAGGGAGCGAGAAAGCAGTTGCGGTGTCCTCCCCTCTCTGCCGATTATGTCGTCTGGGTTCACCCAGCGAGGAACTTATTGGGATGGGAAATCTGGGTGGGCACCATCCTGATTTCCTTCCAAACTTTTCGGGTGGAGGCCTCCCAAAAAGCTGAACCCGGATTTTTGTCGACCCGAAAAGCTGAAGAATCTGGCTGTACAAGTATAAGAAGCTAGATTTCCGCCCGTCCTGAAAAGTGAAGCTTTTTTGGGAAAGGAATCCAGGTGAATAAGAATCAGCCTAACTCTCCTTGAACCCAGGTAGTCACAGTTTCTTGGTCCAGAAAAAATCGCGCTCGCTCATTTAGAGAGACTGTACAGTCCCGAGAGCCGAGGGCTGAAATGGCTTCAGTACGGAAAGCGTCCCTAAATGCACTGGAGACACTTTGTGAAGCCAAGTCAGCAAATTTTATTTTTTCCGGTACTTTTGTAGGCTAGTACAATGTTACCAATTGGTTTTACGAACACCCGCGGCGTGCGATATTTGTGTGCAGCAAGTCAGAGGCCCAGGAGAAGCACACAGGTATCACACGCAGCAGTGTGTCACACAGCGTACCACTTCACACAAGCATGCTACACAAAGATTTACTATGCACTTATCACGCAGAGGCGCATAGTGACGACTACGGTGCGGTAACGGGCATTTAAGTGGTGTGTCCGCCAAAGTGTCCCCATTTGGGCTTCCAGTTCCAGGAGGATGGAGTAACTTGTGCTCTTCTGAACAAACCAAAAGAATATGGGCTTCCATGCAACGATCCAAGAAACGATTCTTGCATCTAATATTTGCTCGGTTTCTTTCAAACATACCCCGGAATTCATCTCCATCCACGGACAAAGGGGATAGTGACGGTCTTGCCTGTCTGAACCAAGCTGGCTATCAGGGTCTGGTAATGGTTTGTAGAGACGCGGCAGAGATCGCGCGGAAAACCCGGGTGCCTTAAGTGTGTACCTGCATCGTGGAAGACCCCTTCAATGTGGAACGATTCCTAGTCAGTGTCGATGTTTACACTGCTGTGCCTAACACAGATGATCTGGATAGATTCGGGTGATTGTCAATTGCAATGATGGCTTCGGTTGGGTGTTCTTCATTGTATGTCCACGGACTCATTCTGACAGCACTTCAGACAGCAGCTGCATGCCCCGAGCTTATGTACCATGCACCAGGTGTTATTATTGTACAGGCAGCACTTCAGACAGCAGTACGCTGTAGTCGACAAACATCCATTTTGGTTAAATGCGAGACAAGGGGGGTGATGCTGCTGCTGTAGTCGAATTGTAGTGTGTGGGCGTGTAGTTCAGTTGTGAACACGCAAACGTGCTGCAGGGATTGTAGGTGTACCTCCTCGGGCTTGTGTACCCTTTTCTTGCTAATAGTGTGTGTTATTTAGATCTTCTGATGGCTCTAGCACTTTTGTGACCACGGACCGAGTCCTTGCTAGATTATGGGATTAGCAACTGACACGCGTTTAATGTGAAGAAAATCAACAGCAACGACAGCAATGGCGGCGCACATGGACCCTCCGCCGCTGGTTTGTGTTGTGGTTAGGTTACGGCAGTCGTGTGGCATAGTGTTATCAATAGCGTGTAAACGTGGAGTATTGAACAGATTTTTTTTCCGACTCTTTCTTGGCGAAACACCTGTGCTCCTTTATCGTCAGCTTTCCCTGGTGTTCATCACGAGCGACTTGATGAATGGGAGGAGAGCGCACCCGGGCAGCGTCATCATCTTCGTGTTGTCCGTCGCCTACTGTGGGGTTCTCATTAGGCGGCAGAGGATCGAAACCGCCCGACTAGCAGGCAAGTCACGGCAGCAGCGGCGGCAGCAGCAGCAGCAGCAATAGCAACTGATACCGGGCTACGTTAACGTGGCGTCGAAACACTGCAAGGAGGGGGGTATACACCTAGTTTGAGACTACACAAGAGCACTCAATCAGACTTTTTTCGGTGGGAATTCACATCTCCAGATGTTGACGACACGGCCTTGCTGATGGCAAGGCATAGGTCCACTCTCTCGTTTACTTATTACATAGTCCCTCAGCAGCAGCGGCAGAGACACCCTCAACGCACGCTCTCTCTCTCTCCCCCCCATTTGTCGAAACGAACAGCGGAGGAAGCAACGCTGGAGGCGGAGGAGGCAGGACGGAGAAGGCCCCCCGGGGTTCTCGACAAAGAGACGAGGCGAAGGGTGTTAAACTACTTCGTGCTCCGCCCGCCAGAGGAGAAGGACGGGGACAACAATCACAAGAGCGGCGGCGGCAGCAGCAGAAGCAACCCTTCGAACACTGCCCAACGTGAAGGTGATATTTGCGGCAGCGGGAGAGGAGTAAGGTTTCCGAAGCTTGCCCGCGGTGGTAGCATCGCCAGCGGCACTAGCGGCGCGGGGAGCGGGAGATTATTCGTGGGCGTGCTCTCCCCCTGCCGCGCCCCTGCGTCTGGCTCCCCCCCCCGCCCGCCGGGCGCCGCCTCGCCTCCTCCTCCCCCGCGGCCGCCGCCGCCGCCATACGCATCTCCACCACCCAGGAGGGCGGGAAGAGATGCCTTTAACACCGCCGAGCACATCGACCAGGAACGGGCTGCCGCAAATCGCGAGGTATACTTTCACCGTGCCGGAGCAGGTGTTGATAATTGCGTCCCCGAAACTGAAAATGAAAGAACACCCAACACGGTTGTAACGAGACACACCCAACCATTCACGCTTACTTGAGGATTTTTTTTTGTTTTTTTCGAGGTGGACGGTGTTTTGTTTGTTTTATCAGTTTCTAAAAGTGCCTTGAGCAGATTTAGGGCCCCCGTGTAGGACCGCCGATGGCGATGTTAGCGGGTGGACAGCAGGACGAGGTAGAGGATCATTATGTAGAGGGCAGGAACATGGTGTTATCGGATGCATGCGTTGTCTACCTGAGCACCGCTGCTTAATTCCTTCCTCGAGTAGTGCAGTATGCAGCTCCCACCCCGTGTTCGCGCCGTTGACGCTCTACCCTACCTCCAGGCGTAACGTCTGAGAATATGGCGGAGCCCCCTCCCTCGATAACATCTTGTGTCCGTTGCTGTTCTTTCTGCTGTGCGACCCCGATGGCCCTGCAGGAAGGGTTACCAGCAGCTGCTGCCGTACTTGCCAGCGACGCTGAACCGGAGACCGACAGCGGTACGGACAGGCCCGCCGGGGGAGAGATTAGAGCCGCGGCAGCGGAGGGGGCGGCAGCAAGAAACGAGACGGATGTCGTCGTGGTTGGGACGTCCGTTGGCGAGGAGGCGCCCGGTGCAGGAGATGAAGGGTCTTCTTACCCAAGGACCGACGCAGGTGTCCGGTTTGGTCTGTCTCTTTCGATGGGGAATCTTCTTCTCACTTGTCGTGTCGTTCTGTTTTCTTAGTCGGACGTCTTTCGGCACAATTTTGTGGACGCACCTGCTAGAATTGCACGGGACGAGGGGCACAGAGGAGTTTTCGTTCGTTGCGAAAAAACGTTGCAGAAAAATGTGTGAGGTTACGGTAGCGAGACAGAGAGAGAGAGAGAGAGAGAGAGAGAGAGAGAGAGAGAGAGAGAGAGAGAGAG